GCAGGTAAAACTGGATGTGGGTAGAAGTTGCCCTGATTTACATCCAGCTTGAATGGGCAACTTCACCCAGCACTGTAATGTAATTAGAAGCAATATTTCATTTTTAACATCTGTATGGGGTCACGGTATTGGGTTATCAAATGTAAAGCAGCAATCAAACATGCAATATTCATCAAACATTAGGACAAAATAACACTCAGATGACTGAGATGGATACTGAGAGGCTTTGGAATAAGAATGCTGTCTTCTCTTTGATTTATTTTTCAGGTGTAAAGGCTGTTTAGCACAGATATGATTTCTCACGCTGAGAGAAACCCTTAGCCAGCGGAGGGAGAGCAGCCTGACGTGAGGTACTGATGAGCCTGCCAATCTATCTCCTGACACACGGGTATCACCTGGAGTGGTGCCAAACTGCAGTGCCTATTCGGCCTATAAACGACGAATGGAGCCCTGAAAGTATGAGGGGTCCCCAGTCACTTATATTTGAAGTAGGTTCGGGATGAATGGAGAGAACCCCATAACTCAAGTGGCTAGTTAAGAGCTGGTCCGATACCATTAAAGGTCCCATATTGTCAAAACTTTTTCATGATAACTGAGGTCTAGGTGCTATGTAACTACCATGTAAGTTTCAAAACAGTCAATCCAGTCAAATGCACACAGCCTGCATAAAGTAGCTGTGATTTTTCACGAACCGTTGTGACTTCCGTAAAAAGGTGACGTCAGACCTACTCCTTTTGCCAAACCCCCAGACAACATCGCGTTCATGCCATTGCTGAGCAACAACAACACGGAAACATGTTGAGAAAACGCTGTTCAGTCTGGATGTCAGGAAACTACATCATTGCAAAGTAGGGCTGTGATGGTTGCCGTGACAACCGCATCAACCGATGTCTATTGCCACCGGCGGTAGTGTACGTGACGTCACACACTCTATAACAAGCATAATACAAAGTTTTGTATACAAGTGTAATAATAGTAACAGTTGCAAATTGTTTTATTTAGACTATAAGTCTATGCTAATTCACAAATTACCTCAAACGCCATACACAGCGTTTGATCATTTAGATTGGCAGGTTTGAGCGCAGGAAAATACAGTACAAAATACAGAATCCAAATACTACATCGCCAATCTGGAATCATTTCCATTCATGTCACCCATCTTTTTCATGATAACTGAGGTCTAGGTGCTATGTAACTACCATGTAAGTTTCAAAACAGTCAATCCAGTCAAATGCACACAGCCTGCATAAAGTAGCTGTGATTTTTCACGAACCGTTGTGACTTCCGTAAAAAGGTGACGTCAGACCTACTCCTTTTGCCAAACCCCCAGACAACATCGCGTTCATGCCATTGCTGAGCAACAACAACACGGAAACATGTTGAGAAAACGCTGTTCAGTCTGGATGTCAGGAAACTACATCATTGCAAAGTAGGGCTGTGATGGTTGCCGTGACAACCGCATCAACCGATGTCTATTGCCACCGGCGGTAGTGTACGTGACGTCACACACTCTATAACAAGCATAATACAAAGTTTTGTATACAAGTGTAATAATAGTAACAGTTGCAAATTGTTTTATTTAGACTATAAGTCTATGCTAATTCACAAATTACCTCAAACGCCATACACAGCGTTTGATCATTTAGATTGGCAGGTTTGAGCGCAGGAAAATACAGTACAAAATACAGAATCCAAATACTACATCGCCAATCTGGAATCATTTCCATTCATGTCACCCATCTGCATTTTTGTACAAGTGTCTTCAAGTTCACGTAATCGCAAACACTCTGCTGGTCAGTTAATATTTACTGCATTCAGTATTTGAAAAAAAAAAAAAAAAAAAAAAAACATGAATTACCATTCTGAAACATCCTGTTGTAAGTGCGTTTGAGGAGGTGGTTGGTTGTCTCCTGTCTTTGCCGATTCGGGTCTGAGTTTGGCTCAAACATGTAAGGCCGTACAACATTTCCCTCAGCAGTGACCATCATTACCGGTGTTTCTATTGACCTTACTTTTGAGCATCACCAATCCACAGCAGGCTACAGCATACATGGCTCTAGTTACCTGTGGTTGGCCTGGCCGTGCGTCACTCAGAAAACAACAGGCCAATCAGATGAGAGGCTCATGTGTATTAATTATATACATATAATATTAATTTAACAGGCCAAAATCGACCTGTTCTTTGCAAAACTCATGAGAGAGGAGCTGTAAAAATATATTGAGATGGTTTTTGTTACTTATACTGCAAATATATATTCTTAAGGACATCAAGACTTAAAATAAAACTCCAGAGAGGTGTAAAATATGTGACCTTTAAAAGAATAGGCCTATCTGACCGACAATGGTGAGTCTTGAAATTGTGATATGTGAGGAGACAGCAGAGGCCACTGAAGGTTCTTTAATCAAAACCATGACTCATTTAGGACAAGTTCCCTAAATAGAAAGGGATGTTCCACATTGTGTGGTCTGAGGCAGTTGAACACAAACCATTCTTTATAGAATAAGAATTTTAATCTTAAGGAATCTTAATGGACATCTGAAAGGATGTAGTTTACATTAAAATAAGCAGGTAAAGAAACATCTCAGTGTTGCTTAATGGGTCAATGACAAATGTTCAAGATCACGAAAAAAAAATAAAAAAAAATAAAAAAGTTTTTCAACAAAATGTCATGTGATGTAATGACTAGTTAAAAAGCAATATTTTCTTTACACTTTGAATGAACATATGTGATTGTACAATACTCTTTTTTTAATCAAAAGTATATTCATTAATTCATTCATTCAATGCAACATTTACTACATATATAATTATTACTTATTAATAAGTTTGGGAGGTGGGGGGGGGCAGCATTTTTCATCCATAGCCTTATTTCATGACAGCTACAGCATCCATAATACACCCATATTTTTTTTTTATGACACAAAATGAAAAAGCATTATCATCACAGAAGAGCTGTATTCAAATAATTGTAACACTAAACTGCATATTTAAGGATTTTTTTTAAGAAACTGATAAATAAAATGAGTGTCATGTCACTAACCATGATAACAAGTGAAAAAGTGTTCAAATAATTATTCACAGGTATGTGATACAGAATCCATTGTGCATGATTAATTAACAAAACAAATAAAAGGCTTCAACTTACCCAGTTTTTGCGAAATTCGTCCAGTAAGTCATTACCACCGCCGAAAGCATGACGTCGTTCTTGGAGAAATTACAGTTAAAGAGATCAGTGGGCCCAATCATGGGAATTCCAAACACATAAGGCACCTCGTCTCCATGTGCTGAATCTGACCAGCTAGGTTTCATTTCGCTCTGACAGTGGTGGTAGAAAGCATAAAAATATGTTGGAGATCCGTACTGAGCATGAAGGGTATTTGAAAAAAAAAAAAAAAAAAAACATGAATTACCATTCTGAAACATCCTGTTGTAAGTGCGTTTGAGGAGGTGGTTGGTTGTCTCCTGTCTTTGCCGATTCGGGTCTGAGTTTGGCTCAAACATGTAAGGCCGTACAACATTTCCCTCAGCAGTGACCATCATTACCGGTGTTTCTATTGACCTTACTTGTGAGCATCACCAATCCACAGCAGGCTACAGTATACATGGCCCTAGTTACCTGTGGTTGGCCTGGCCGTGCGTCACTCAGAAAACAACAGGCCAATCAGATGAGAGGCTCATGTGTATTAATTATATACATATAATATTAATTTAACAGGCCAAAATCGACCTGTTCTTTGCAAAACTCATGAGAGAGGAGCTGTAAAAATATATTGAGATGGTTTTTGTTACTTATACTGCAAATATATATTCTTAAGGACATCAAGACTTAAAATAAAACCCCAGAGAGGTGTAAAATATGTGACCTTTAAAAGAATAGGCCTATCTGACCGACAATGGTGAGTCTTGAAATTGTGATATGTGAGGAGACAGCAGAGGCCACTGAAGGTTCTTTAATCAAAACCATGACTCATTTAGGACAAGTTCCCTAAATAGAAAGGGATGTTCCACATTGTGTGGTCTGAGGCAGTTGAACACAAACCATTCTTTATAGAATAAGAATTTTAATCTTAAGGAATCTTAATGGACATCTGAAAGGATGTAGTTTACATTAAAATAAGCAGGTAAAGAAACATCTCAGTGTTGCTTAATGGGTCAATGACAAATGTTCAAGATCACGAATTTTTTTTTTTTTTTAAATAAAAAAGTTTTTCAACAAAATGTCATGTGATGTAATGACTAGTTAAAAAGCAATATTTTCTTTACACTTTGAATGAACATATGTGATTGTACAATACTCTTTTTTTAATCAAAAGTATATTCATTAATTAATTAATTCAATGCAACATTTACTACATATATAATTATTACTTATTAATAAGTTTGGGAGGTGGGGGGGGGCAGCATTTTTCATCCATAGCCTTATTTCATGACAGCTACAGCATCCATAATACACCCATATTTTTTTTTTATGACACAAAATGAAAAAGCATTATCATCACAGAAGAGCTGTATTCAAATAATTGTAACACTAAACTGCATATTTAAGGATTTTTTTTTAAGAAACTACACTTTGAATGAACATATGTGATTGTACAATACTCTTTTTTTAATCAAAAGTATATTCATTAATTCATTCATTCAATGCAACATTTACTACATATATAATTATTACTTATTAATAAGTTTGGGAGGTGGGGGGGGGCAGCATTTTTCATCCATAGCCTTATTTCATGACAGCTACAGCATCCATAATACACCCATATTTTTTTTTTATGACACAAAATGAAAAAGCATTATCATCACAGAAGAGCTGTATTCAAATAATTGTAACACTAAACTGCATATTTAAGGATTTTTTTTAAGAAACTGATAAATAAAATGAGTGTCATGTCACTAACCATGATAACAAGTGAAAAAGTGTTCAAATAATTATTCACAGGTATGTGATACAGAATCCATTGTGCATGATTAATTAACAAAACAAATAAAAGGCTTCAACTTACCCAGTTTTTGCGAAATTCGTCCAGTAAGTCATTACCACCGCCGAAAGCATGACGTCGTTCTTGGAGAAATTACAGTTAAAGAGATCAGTGGGCCCAATCATGGGAATTCCAAACACATAAGGCACCTCGTCTCCATGTGCTGAATCCGACCAGCTAGGTTTCATTTCGCTCTGACAGTGGTGGTAGAAAGCATAAAAATATGTTGGAGATCCGTACTGAGCATGAAGGTCCGCCGTAGCTACCGCTGGCGCCACCCATTGGTGATCAGTAAAGAGTGCAACTAGAGTCTTTCGCCTGGTCTCCGGGTTCTCCTTGTCAGCCCAGTCCGTATACATGAACTTGATGGTTTCTCGAAGCGTGTCCTTGCCCTCTGGATAACCATAGAGGTGGTCCACAAAATCAGACACAGCAAAGTCAAAGTCGTTTGCAGAGACACCATCCTCACTGTCTACGATGCCATCCACAAATTTAAAACCCTCACCCTGGTTGACGCCCAGCATGATGTCATAGTTGAGAAACTCTCCTTGTTCCATCAGAATTTGAGGGTCATCAGGGATGACGTCACCATCGATAACTGGACCAAATGCAATGTGGTACTTGGCCTGTGTGATGTACTGTTCAATCAGCTCCTTGTAGTTTTTGTTCTGTAGACATTCCACCAGATCTACAGTATCTAGCATATTGCAGCCCACCTTCTCAGCTAGTATGCGGGTGTATTTGGCTGGCTGGTAGTTGACAGCCCAGCTTGACAAAGCAGTCCCACTCTGGATGATGGCTTTCTGAAACAAATCTGAAAATAAAATAAAAACATTTATTAATATTAATTAAGATTTTTTCACCCAACAATGAAAATTGTTTGATATGTGTCACGTGTCACGCAAACACATTTTAGCTTCCACAAGAACCATTGAGGTTTGTGCTTGCTTGTCAAGAAAGTACGACTGAGCGTCCATTAACCAAATTTGATGTGCTCTATGCATGAGTGTTGATCAATGTTTATATGTGAATAAGAGCCTAAATTAAATCTATTCATCATATGAATGGATCATGCCTCTTCAGAAGACTTTGTGTAAGCCGCTTGATTCATATGAATTACTTTTGCAAACTCTTTATAAACTTTATGAAGCATCCATGTTTTAGGTGAATGAATGTTCAGTGGAGGAGCAGAAATCTCTCAGGTTTCATTAAAAAATGCCTTCATTCAAGATGAAGTTTTATTGGTTTGGAACAACATGGGAGCAAGTCAGTGATGAAGTGAACTATCCATGTATCACTAATCAAAGTGAGAACTGAGGGAAAATAATGAGCGCAGCAATAATGAATAAAGGTGCTTGTTTATTTCATAATGTATATTACAATGTCTCATTGAAGACTTTGGTTGGACCTCATAAAAACGGACTCGAAAATGAAAGAGCATGTAGAATAAGAATGCTTTATAATGAAGCCTAGGGTATTTTGTCCCTGCTTACTGTTATATGGGTAAGTAATATCAGTCATTGCCTGACATAGACGCCAACTAATATGCATATGCATTGATGCTGTACCTTTGTCAGCTCAGCCAGGCGTGGCCATAACTCGTTGACACAGATTGTGTCTTAAAAAATAGCAATACCTCAGGGCATGGATCTCACTACACTCTTAAAAATAAAGGTGCTTCAAAAGGTTCTTCAAGCGATGCCATAAGGGTCTTTCGCACCGCAGGAACCTTTTCATAGTACCAGAACTAATTGTGGAACTACCCACCGCCAGAACTGGGAGCGATTTTAGTACCGGACTGCCTTTTTCGAGAACCAAATTAGCTCCTACTCCTGAGCAGGGTCTAACCAGAAGAAGAAGAACCATTTTTGGTTCCACAAAGAACCATTCAGTCAAAGGTTCTTTAAAGAACCATCTCTTTCTTACCTTTTTATAATCTGAAGAACCTTCTTTCGCCACAAAGAACCTTTTGTGAAACAGAAAGGTTCTTCAGATGTTAAAGGTTCTTTATGGAACCATTTAGACAAAAAGGTTCTTCTATGGCATCGTGAAGCACCTTTATTTTTAAGAGTGTAGGCTGAACCGAGGCTTCTGACGCACTGACATAGAGTGAAAAATAGCCTTCGCTCAGATTTAAAATATCAAAAATGTGGAGAAGGCACTACTGCCAAGACCTTTTTAATGTATTGGCCATTAAAAATATATCAATGTCAATGCCCAGACAATGGGGCTTAGCAGACTCTACCCATAAATCAAAGACTGATTACTCATAATATGTTTTAAACTAGGTTAAAGGAAGTCCTAATCAAACCCAGATGCATGATGGCTTTGCCAGGCACACTGAACTGTGCATGTGGGATCTGAACAATATGACATGAATAAAAACAGGAAATGCAGATTTATTTTTATTTTTTTTAATGAGAAAATGATTTCATATCCTAAATAATGTTTGATTGGTTTAATTAATCATTACTGATAAATAAGCTAGTTTGAAGGAATTAAATTAAATAAATTAAAATTAACCAGTAATTCATCCTCATCTTAATAATGGTATTCTTACTAATGGTTTTCTAATGTTATACTTTTTAGAGCGCCTGACAAGCATCTGAAGACAAAAGGCTCAGGTGAACAGTAGAGGTAACAGGTGAAATAAAATGCATTTCTGCTTATTTTACAATTTATATTATGTAATTCATTCATAAATCATGGCCGACCTTTCAGACAGGAACACCAGAAGGGAACTACATCTTGTCCTCTTATTTTGATCAAATATGGCACTTCCTTATTTGGGGTTATGTTAGTGTTAGAGTAACTGTAGCCAGAGGTCATTTGATCCATTACTAGATTTTGTCTGCTATCTAGCCAGACTGGACATTGAATGTAAAATCTATATTTTATAGTGGGACAATTGAGTTCCAGATGAATGCCTTGTAGGGGTTGTTGTTGCAATGAAAATTGCATGCAGCCAGGCACACAGGGACCAAGTTATTTTTGTTCTTAGAAGATCTTTCAATTTATCAGCACAGAGAAAATAGGGGATTGTGTTATTTGTTGTAAATGAAATAAGTAATTAAGTAATGGTTTGGAAGCTGTAAAGACAAAAGAGAGCATAATCACAGTTTAAGTTATCATGATTGCAATTAATTAGGGTATATATATGAAGAGTTCAGATGCAAAAGCCCCTAAGTGCCATTTGAAATTGAACCTGGTTTCACAACAGTCCATTCACAAGGCATTCCTCAAAACCACTTCTATGCCTGACTCTTTGCATAGACTTTATAATGGCTGTATAAGTGAGGGCATTCAATCTCTAGACTGAATCAATATAGAAAAGGACACAAATTAATTACAACATAAATAATTAGATTTCCTTTAAACTTTTGAAATAAATGTTGATACTGTAACTTTCACAATTCAAAACAGTGTAAAATGATAATTTATTGAATCTAACCTGCAAAAATGGTATGTGAAAGGGCTCAGAAAAGTATCTTTGACAGCAATTATTTGGGGTTAAGGGAAATGTGAATTTGAAATGACTATTTGAACAGGTTTGTTTAAATTTGAAATTGAAAAAGTATGCTTTAATTTAAAAATCTTTAATCTACTCAGACAAGAAAATTAATAACACGTTGTGCTAAATATGGAACTAACTTCCATTAAACAATCAGCAAAAGATTTGCTCTATGAACGCAATAAACTTTCAAAAACTGGGTACAATGAGGTAACATTATTCTACTCACCCTTCAACCATCCAACATTAAACGGAAATTAACAAGTATAAAATCATTAATACATTATTTCAACATACCATGAATAACCCCTGAAGCTAGATTATTTCTACATACAGATGTCTGATATCATAGTAATATGTGTCTATTACATAGCAATTACATTTTAAAGCATCAGTGTGAAAACAAACCTGGAAAGAGACTTTTGAGGATTTGGGGAGAAAAATGAGAGATTCCAGCATTCCAGAGAATTATTCAGAGGATATCGTAAATTGAATCAAGAGAGAGCAGACCAAAAATGTGAAGTATATGTTGCCTTTCAGTGCTGAAAAGAGTTATTCCATGGCTATTCTTGTTATATCACGTTGCATTTAAAAACAAATACAATTTAAAATAAAACAAGCGTTACATTATTCTCTTGACTTCTGAAAATAGAACATGAAGGAAAACGTACAGCTCATTCAGTCAAACTAATGAATAAGCATTACTTGTAGAAGTGTAACCATATGATTTGAAATAATTTGTTTCAGCCTTTGTGAACTTACCCAAACCTCCCATAAAACACAGTACGCTAGTTCGGAAAAAGGTGGATTTTTTTTCCCTCTATTGTTAAGTAGTCTCAATAAGTAGGTAAATATTGCATATATGGCAGTAAGTGGTCAGGAGTTTGAAAATTACCAATAATAAGAGAAATCATATAGTCTACTACACCACCCGGAATACACAGGGACATAACAGCCCTAAACAAAGAGACAGGTTTGTTGCCAAAGGCAGAGTGAGCATAATAATAATAATAATAATAGGTATAAACAAAAGTCACTTTATTAACATACAATTGATAAAAACACATACAACACTTCACACCAGGTCTCAATACATCACACGTCTTTACCAGTAACCTATAAAACAAGTACAATACAATAAGAGAAAATAAACGGGGAGGTGGCCAGCAAAGATCCTCAGATTTCTACCCCACACTCAACACCCATGACACACTCATGAAAAATCAGTAATATTAAACACAGCACTCCATGTGGACACGCAGTACAAGGTACCATGGCCAACCCCTCCCACCTAAATCCACACACACCAAACATAATATAACAGACGGACCCAGATGAATTCCAGACAGAACAAAACGGAGTAGAGCAGAGCAGAAGTGCAGTCAGTTACTTGAGGTTCGTTACGCTTCAATTAAGATCATTAGAAACCCCTGGACACGCAATCAATCCTGCTGGACATTGAACAAAAGTTATGCATAACTTTTAAAACAAACTTTAAACTACCCATACCTACCAAGAAAACAGTACAATGCTGCAATACACATGGTCGCTCACCACGCAGAATTACAGCTAATTGCAGGCCCATATCTAAAAACAAACAAAAGGTAATAAACCTCTATTTAACAGGCAAAAAGGCATTTTTAAAAACGGGACAAACCTGAAAACTGGCCAACAGCCAGCACACAACAGACAGGAAGATAACCCAACTGCTAGCACTCATTCAAAGCGCCACATGTCACAAAGGGGCGGTATCAAGGATCATGCATCCCAAGCAACCAAACACTTCCCCCTTTTATATGCACAGCAGGCACTAACTGACTAATGAAACCTACCCAACTGACCAATCACGATAAAGTACAAACCCTGATAGGTTCACCTGTTTGGGTAACGCCAGCCAATCATACTGGGTCTATAGCTCACTCTGCTACATATGTATGTATAGATAGATAGATAGATAGATAGATAGATAGATAGATAGATAGATAGATAGATAGATAGATAGATAGATAGATAGATAGATTCACATATATTCAAATAAATCTTAAAAAGTGAGAGAACAGAACAGAATGTGTGTGTGATGGGAAAGGGGGTAGCCATTTTCCCATTATTGTGGTGAATCACAGATTTCAAAAAGGATGTACAAGGCCTCCTTTGGTTTGGCAGGAAACATTTGAAAACGGCATTTGTGGCAAACTGCAAAAAGTAATTGTAGTTCACAGCATGGTGCACCATAATAACAGCCTGGATCCAAGGCATTCAATGTGAAAGCTGCAATAAAATGCTGACAATAACAGAGGAACAGT